TTCTCTCCCAAAGGACCCAGGTTTGGTCCCCAGCACCCACGTGGTGACTCACAACCATCTCTAACTAGAGTTCCAGTGGATCAGGTACTCTCTTCTGGCCTCCTCAAGCACTTAGCACATGTGCGGCACATATGCATGCATGTAGGCAAAATAGCCACACACATAAACTAATATACATACATGTACACACGCACACAGGTCAGCATGATGGGCACACACACACACACACACACACAATCATCATCAACATAGAATACAATATAAATTTCAGAAATAAGCCTAGAGACAAAAACTGTATCTTTCTGCTCCTAGTATAGAATGTTATAGCTTATATGATGTGGCCCTTGAATTACATTTGTGAATATATTTTAAAACATTTATGAAATTTCTAACAAACCCAAATCAAAAGTTTCTCTCTGCCTAATGAGCCATCATGGCAAAGGATATATGTTCCGTATCCCCTTCATGTCTTTCTACCACAAACTGTCAAGAAAAAAAGAAATTCAAGGCCCTACTACCTATAACAAACTTTACCTTCAATGTTTCCTCACCTAACAGGGAATTACATAGATATTCAAAAGAATCGGATATCTTGAATTTTGAAACAACAACAACAAAAAAAAACAAAAAAAAAAAGCAAAAAGCTCCTTCTTCTGACTAAGTCTCGAGGTTCGGGACTGTGATCCCTGTGTTTGGAAAGCAGAGCAAGATGACAAGATAGCAGAGCGTTTGAGGCCTGCTTGGCTGCACAGGAAGACTTTACCTCAAAAATAAACAAGCCAGGCATGGTGGTTCACTCCTGCTGGGGCAGGAGGATTGTTTTAAATTCAAGTCCAACCTGTGCTGCTTAGTGAGTTTCAGGCCAGGCTGGGCCACAGGAATGAAATCTTGCATCAAACAAATAAACACACAGCGCTTCTGTTCTCGCAGAACAGATAAGCCGGTAGGTTTTATACTACCTGTGAGGTAAAGAAGGCCTTCAGCACTAAGGGAGATGACAACACTGCGTCCTCAGTTATTTCAGCCTCCTGTCTTTGTTCATTATCTGTATGAAATGTTATAAATGTAGAAACATTAATCTTACATTTAAAGTATTTAGAAAGAACCCCCGCAAAATTCATAATATCTTTTGGAATAAGCTTCCACTAAGGGAATGTGTCTGTGTTAGTCTCCCTCAGGAATGATCTTCCAGTATTTTACATGATCATATATGTAAATTTGCATGAGTTTTTCTTTATAACTTTCCATCATTCTGAACTTAATGTCCAACAGAATTCTCCCAAGATACCTGGCTCAACCTTTCATAATATCTATGTTATGGGACCTTATAAATTGTTCTCCAAAGCCAACAAAGTTTTATTGTGACAGAAAACACAACATGGGGGAGGGGAACCACAATGTTCATGAAGATAGTATGTGATAGCAGAATTATTGAGACTATTTGGGTATCCATTTCTTAAAAAAAAACAGCTGTGGTATTTTGTATTATTGAATACTGATTATTAACTCTCTTCTCCAACTTCTCTTTTTCCTTTCTCCCAAATGGGTAACTATTTTCTTCCCAGGTATGAAATCTGTCTTCTCTCTATGGTGGAGAGTTCTTCCCCAATGGATTAAAAAAGAACCGTTTCTTGCCATGTTGACCATATCCTGCTTAAGTCTCTCCTCCAAGTCAATTACAAGAGTAAATGAAGAGAAAACACCATATTGAGTGAGATAACCCAGACTCAGAAAGACAAATATAATATGTACTCACTATAAGTGGCTTTTAAACATAAAGGAAAGAAAAACCAGCCAACAATTCACAAGATTGGAGAACCTAGATAACAAGAGGCCCCTAAGAGAGACATATTTGTCTAATCTACATGGGAAGTAGAAAAAGACAAGGTCTCTTGAGTAAATTGGGAGCATGGGGATCATGGGAGCAGGTAGAATGGGAGAGGGGAGAAAAATAGGGGAGGGGAGAAAAATATATAGCTCAATAAAAACAAAAAATAAAGATAATATACACAGAATATTCTTGATACAGATAATATACAGAGAAGGATATTTTTTGAAAACACAGTTTGTTGCTTTTTTAAAAATAAAAGCTTAGAAAACCACCACCTAAATGTAATGACATTCTAAGAGGTGATGACCAAACTGACCATCATAAGATAACCTGCCAAAAAGACTGAAGCTTATTATATATGTGCGGCAGTTCTCAAATCCATACTCCTAGGCTAAGAGTCTTTCATTAACTCAACATAAATAGTTAACTGACACCTCATTTTGAATGGATTATTTCAAACTCAATGTAATAAAGTTTATTCTCAAGAAAAAAAAGAGCAAATGGAGACCCCAGACAATGAGTCCTTCAAACCTGGCCATCTGGGGATCCAGGACTATCCTTGATGATATTTAGAGATATTAACAGGCATGTTGAGTCCAGCTGCCACTTAAGCATTGTACCCACAGCTCCGCCAGTCTGTAAAACCCATTCAACTACAAAGCAAAGTGATTTTTTTCTATTCACGTCTCAACTTTACACAATTGAGCAAACTTAGACAAGACCCAAATCATTTTAAGTTCATGGATTTCTTTTTTACTAAGAAAATTATCAAAGAACTCTCTCCCAATTCTTAGTTCTCCAGGTCACAAAACTCAAACCTAGACTGAGAATACTCAGGCTAGACTGAAAATAAACAGATGGACCAAGGCATTCACTCCACCTACAAAATTACCCAGATGAGACATTCCTACTTGCTTATTGCTCAATCTCATCTTGTTAAAGAAAGAAGCCTAGGGTGGGGACATTCTTAGTCAAATAAATTCCTAAAGAGACTATTCAGTGAGTGACGGTATCAGGTCTAAGAGAGACCCGAGCTCTGCATCACTAAGGGCGAGCCCGCACAGAGCCTGAGCGGATGACAGAGGCAGGTGCCTCTAGTTCCTCCCCTTCCTCTTCAGCTCTTCTGCTGGGACTCTGGCACAGATCCCCCTCTGTGGAGCCTTGACGCATTGTTTGAGAATGATAGATCATGATCTCAATCTCTTTGCTGTTGATTGCACGTTAATCTTCTGAGTAGACTTTTTCATGATGGTGAATTCATCCCAGGGCTAGTAGGAAGACCCATTACAATGAACTACAGTCTGAGGGAACAGCATTTCTATAGTTGGGAAACTCACTGAGGACCCACAATGTATCAGTCATCTGCTAAATTCCACAATAAAAGAAAGAATGAGGCCTTACCCTGGAGGTGTTCATATTGTACAGTGCCAAGGTGATTGGCCATTGATCACTATGGATACCCGTATACAAACCTGTTTCAGGAAAACTGATTCTCCGGCTCAGATAGCAATGGGATCAGAGTGAAATACTGAAATCTTCCAGATAGCAAGAAGGTACAAAGAATCAGATAATACATTTTGCAGAGTAACTGTTGCCATAGATGCAAGGCTTAGGTGGTGAGAAGTTTAGGGATTAAAAGTGAAAGAAGAGTCTAGAAGATTGGGGAATCTAGGTTGGCTCTGGCCCTTTGACAAATGTGTTCCTTAAATTAGATAATAGATATAGCAGTGTGGAGACCGGAGGCTCTGCCTCCCCCAGTACACACCTCCTACTCCTCACTTGGTGACGGCAGCTTCTTTCCACAAACAGTCTGAGATTAGAACAATTTTAGCCAGTGGAACCAAATGAAAGGAGCAAAACTCAAAGGTGCAAAACCAAACTAGCAGGGACCCCATATAGTCTGGACAGCCGTGGGTCATTATTAATACTTTTATCCACTGTTTTCGAGGGAGGAGTCAGGTCTCTGTAGATTCATTTGATGGCTAGCGCAATGTCAAAAGCAACTTGGCCTCTGTCCTTGGTGATGATTCCTATTTTAGGTATTTATTGCCTGTTTTCGTTGTTCTTGTTGGACTCACTATGTAGACCAGGTTAGCCTCAAACTCAGAAAATCCACCTGCTTCTGCCTCCCAAGTGCTACCACCGCTGGTTTGCCTGTCCTTTTCAGACAGAGGAGGAAACCCCTGTCTGTCTTGATTGTTATTTTCTCGGCACATAGTTTCCATGCCTGCACAAAACAATCAGTCTGGTTGTTTTACCTTCTTCTACAGCAGTAGCCGACCATGTTAAGTACCGTGACAGTGGTGCGTGCCAAGGTGATCTCTGACAACGGGACATTAACTAGCGTTGGAGACAAGTTTCAGAGAAGGTGGCATTGATCACAGTGAGTAGGGCTTCATGAAGTGGAGTAGGAAGCAACATATACCAGAAAGAACAAAACACCATGGGCAAAACAAAGTTTCATGAAGAACGGTCAATTTCAAAGGCCATCCTGTTTCTCTGTGCTGTCCAGAAGCTCTTGCCTATGAAGAGTTCTTTATAAGACAGAAAATACAACTGAGAGAAAGGGTGTGGCGATGGGGTGGGTGTTTGGAGTTAGGCCATTCCTGTTTCCCAAATAACTGCAAACCAGGATGTGTATAATTCATCCCATTATAATTAAGCCTGGGATAAGGTGTTGTTTCTGAAGCCCTGGTTGAAATACAGGTGTGGACCTGGGAAGGCTGAGCTCTCAAGTACACCTAATTAAAGAGCTGGTTCTTGATCAACTTGACCTGACCTGTCTAAAAATCAGGAGAGGCAGAGGTTGTCTGGGAGACAGAGGACACAGGAAAGCAACTGAGGGTTGGGTATCTGGATTGAGGAGAGGTTGACGGTGAGCTAACAAACTTTGACTTCTGGGCAATCCTCTGCGGAGGAGTTGGAGGAACACACCTTGCCCTAGATTCTTCAGGAATCCCATTGACAGGTCTTCCAGGTTCACAGTCCTAGACTTCTTTAGGGGTGGTCGATTCCTGGGCAATTAAACTGGGCCACTGCGGGCAACTCCGCAGTTTTAACCCTTTCCTCCCAGGTTCAGGCACGGGCCACGCTCTCATTCCTCCCCGCCGCGCCCAAGCCCGCGCCCCGGGGTTCCGGGACTGAGCATGCTCAGTAGCCACCCGCGTCTAGCTCCCAGGGAAACCTCCGCACGCCCTCCCCAGCTGCTCTCGGTCGCCTCCTCGCCGCCGGCCGCCCAGGGTGCATCCCGGTTTGCAGGGCTCTCCACGCGACCCAGATTTCCGCCCCTCCCCCGCCCCTCCCGCGCCCGCAGCCAGTGCGGCAGCCGCGGCCGCCTCTGTCCAGCTTCCGCGAAGGGACCAGCCGCGGTTGTCACGGTCGCCAGTGCGTAGCCGGAGCGAAGACGGAGATGAAGACCACACTGGCGCTCTCCCGGAGCTGCTGAGCCCACCGCTGTCCCTGACCCGGTGAGTCTCGACTCCAGAGAATTCGAGGGGCGAATGCCCTTGGAGAAGAGAGAGGCGGCTGCTGAGCTGCGTAGGGGACAGCAGAAACGCTCGGGGTTGGGGACAGTGAACGGACGTGGATGAAAGTGCGCACTACCTGGGTTCAGGAGCGCCGGGGTCATCCAAGACTATAAATCCTCTTTCTCATCCTGAGCTTGGAAATTAACACCCGCGGCGCTGCGGGTCAGCGCTGGAAGCTGTTTGGGTCCCAGGGGCGCGGGTCGCCTAGCGACTGAACGCCACTGCAGGTGTCTAGGGAGGGATCCCAAGCCGGGGACAAAGGGCGGCCTGAATGGGACGAGTGGAGGGTCCTGGCCCCCGGGGAGCCCTTGGCCCTGCGGGTCAGGCCCCAGGGCGGTGCCAGGCGGTAGAGTGGCAGAGCTGTAGACCGGAGGTCTCCGGGTCTCCACCCCGAGCCAGGTCTGCGGGGCTGGCGCGCTGCGCCTCCTCCCACTGTGGGAAACTCCACTCTTGTAGCATCTCCCGGGCAGGTGCAGTTGAACAGGCAGGCAGAGAACAACAGCCCCGAGAGCTGTTAAAGAAAGAAAGAACAGTATAGCGAGGCATGCTGTTTTTCCAAGTGCCTTTATTTCCAAGTGTGGGCACCGACTACTCCCCCTCTTGGTGTGTCTGCTCAACCTCTAAGTGGCGAGTCCGGTAACACACCTTATGAATATTTCAGAAACGACCTCACAGACTCGCTTGCTTCAGATCAAGTTTAATGAATATGTGTGGGAGCCTTTCTGCCCCACACAGACAGATGGAAGGCTCAGCCACTGCTTGGAGCTTTCCAAATTTCATGTCTTTCTCCCCACAAACCGAGAAAAAGACGTCACAAATCCCCGCGAGCTTTAGATTGGTGTCATAAATTGAGGCTGTCATTTGGAGAGACTGATTTTAGGCAGGCTTTCGGTCTTTGTTCTGCATCTCAGCAACGTGAGTGTGTGTGTTGTGTCGGTCGCTCGACAACCGTCCTTAACTGGTATTACCAATATGGTGGAAAGCAGGTAGCATGCCTACATTGGGATAAACGTCATAATTCCTTGTTGTCTTTGATACCACGGGGTAACAGCAGTCTTAGTCATTCTCTCCCTAGAAGTTTCCTTTTGAGGTCAACCTAGTTGAAATTTTTGCCAAAGGCACACATTCTCGTTATTTCTCACTATTGTGAGATATTTCTTCTTGACCTCTCTCTTACGGGGGGGGGGGATGCTTTCTCTGTAAGACATCGCTGTCAAGAGCAGCAACATGTTTTATTGCAGGGAACTTCCTGGATTGAAGCAGACTTACACTTTGAGCTGCAACTCTCACATACCATCACAATTAACCAGTAAACCAGCAAGCTGACATAAAGACATAGCTGTCAGGACTCTAAGATGGTACACACTGGCCTACAAGGTCAGCCCTCTCCCCCCTCCCCGTCTGTGAGAGACAGGTAGGTAATCTGACCCATCTCTAAGGAATTCTGATGTTGACCCAAAGCTCAAGATTCCCTGTGAAGGATAATTCCCAGTCTTGCAAGTCAGCTTATACAAAGAAGAGGCTGGGGTGCTTCTGTTTACAGATGTTTCGCGTTTAGGAAAGGGTCTCCCTAAAAGATTGCTGCAGTCACATCACCGGCCGGCTCCATCTCTGCCTGCCTGGCTGCTTCTCCCAGCCTGAGGACAGAGAGTGCCGCTGTGCTAGACTAATGAGGAAAAACAGCACTGGGATGAAATTTTGCTTATTTTCTTTATTGTGTCCTGAGGATTCCACTGAAAATACATGAATGTTGGTCTCTGAGAGATTTTTGAAGCCAACATTGTCTTCTGTGCTAAAAATTGTTGATGGCATTATAAGGGAACTCTAAGGAATTAACAAAATCAGGGAAATATTATGTAACAAGGAGCATTTCCTAAAGCGTGTCACCAAATCACTCAGGATGAGCCCCAGCTGCATTCACAGATGTAAAGTCTGGCTAATTGGGAAGTTTGCAGAGCTTCCACACAGACTTCCAGGTGTGCCAAGGAAGCCGACCCCAAGTCCTCCAAGAAGCTTTGAAATCAGTTCTTAGGATTTAGCAAAGAAAATTTCAGGCTGCCTCACTAAATTTTAATTTAAAATAAATAGTAAATACTGTTTTAATTTAAATATGTCACATGTGGTATTTGGAATTATACTTTAAGCATTATTAGTTGTTTCTCTGACATTTAGTTTGGACTGGGCAGGCATTTTATTTTCCTGGCAACCCCATAATGGAAAGGTATCTTTCCTCTTTTTTTGGGTCGCCTGTGAGTTGATAAAACAAAATGTAACAGAAGTCATATGCCGCTCTGCGGACAATCTGGGGCAAGCTTAGCTCTTGAGTTATTGAGAATAGCTCATGCCTGAAAGCGAGTATTCTCGGTTCTGCACATCTTTGCTGAATGCTTCTACTTGTTAGGCTTTGTGAGAGTTGCCAAGAATCTGAAGATGAGAAGAAGCAGGGGCCGGAGATGTAGCAAGTCCCACATCAACCCGTGTAGGACTTGCTTTGTCAGAAGTGCAAGGAGTATATTTGTCTGGGGTACGTAATGCAAAAGCCTGGAGGAAGACGCAGAATTCTGCTAGATAGCTCCATCAAGGAACGAAACAGTCAGGTCCCCGGCTGTGTTGGCAGGGCTGGCCTCAGGTATGAGAATGAATTCTTATCATGGGAGAAGAGGAATGAAGAGAGTGACATGGGAACAGAATGAAGCCAGCAGTTTCAGAATTTTTATCTGGTAGTCTCAGTTAGAAACACAGAACAGTGTGTCCTGAATACAGTGTTTCAAAGCACTCCTCCCCATCTTCCAACTTTTGCATTGTTTCCTCCCCCACAAGAGACTTGTAAGTAGTTGCGAATGGCAATGAAGAAGGAGCAGAAATGAGGCAAGGGTAGGGACTGGCAAATGGCAGTTAGACAAAGGTATCTCTGCAGAAAAAAAAAACAAAAAAACTTTTAATTGTTTTGAAATGTGTGTGGCTGTTTTGCCTGCGTATATGTCTGTGCACCACATGTGTACTTGGTGCCCTTGGAGGCCAGAAGAAGGCAACTGATCCTCTGGAACTAGAATTACAGACGATTGTTAGCTGTCATGTGGGTGCTGGGAACTGAACCTGGGTCCCCTGGAACCTCCTAGCCTCTTCTCCAGTGAGCCATCTCTCCAGCCCCTCTCAATGCATTTTACAAAGCAGGTCACCTGCCTTTGATAGCATTATTGTGCCCTTTCATTGTTCCACTGCCATCCTGGTCTCTTTAGATGAACATGCCACCACACAGTATCGGACTGCGTTGCTTCTTTAAATTTTACTTTGACATAAATGGAGACATTTAAATGTATCCGATGAGATGCCGATCAATCGGTTTCTTTGGGTACACTTTCTTGAAAAGAGATAAGCATATGTTTAGATTTTCACAAATCTGTTGCTCTGAGGGGGAAAAGACATTAAATTGCTCTCATTTTCTGTTTCCGTGAGTTGTCTTGAAGGAAGCACATGCTGGGGACGGAGAGAAAGTGTATCTCACAGAAATAGCACTGTGCGAAAATGACCATATGCTTGTAGTATCAGAGAGTACCTACTTAGTGTTCTAAGGAAAATTAATTCCAAGGCAACACCGCAGCAAACACAGCTGTGTCTGTAAAGACACTGAAAGTCCTAGCTCTGAGGGTCAGGGTGGGGTGTGGCATGGGAGCTGGGGGTTAAACCCATGCAGTTCATGGAGAAACTGGTCGCTTGTTTTTCATGATTCTAATTGGCAAAACTGCAGTGTTGATCTAGAATGCCAATCTAGATTGCCCTTCTGTCAAGAAACCTAGCTGTCTTCACAATCATCCTTCGGAACGGCCTCAAATGTCTAATTATGCATATGTGTGGATAATTCTCACTTCAGTTTTTTTTTTCCCTTTAAAAAAAAGGCGCTGGGGAGTGTACCTAGGTTTTTATGGATGCCAAGCAAGCACTCTAGTACTGAGCTGTATTACATCCCTGGGGGGGAAAAAACTTAATTTTGAGAGTCTCACTAAGTTATTCAATGTGGCCTTGAACTTTCTCTATAGTCAAGGAAGGTTCTGAACCCACCTGCCTGAGCTTCTTGAGTAACTGGGATTAACAGGCCTGACCCATGAGGCCCAGCTCATATTCTACCGCAAATTCTCAAAATCCTAAGAATTACCCTAGTCTTATCAAATAAACGACCATCATCTAAGACAGAGCAGAAAACAATTTGATTCAGGAACTTAGACCGGTCCTTTTTGCAAAAGGTCAGACGTTCTCCTGCCTCATAATTCTGAGTTTATATGAGAGAAAAAAAAACTGTGGCCAAGGGACATACCGACATTATTAAAGTTCACGGCAATTAGAGTCTAGGTCTTGTTTTCAGCGAGGTTTCCCGGGGACGTGCACAGCTTATTACAGGAGGCTTTACTGCAGTGGTCCCCAGTGACAGCTTATGTGAGCTGTCACCCAGAGAGCCTCAGGTGATGCCAGATGCTCATTCACCGTCTGAGTCCTTAGTAAACATCCTGAAATCAAACACTCTGCATACAGAATGTCTTGGTATCCCATGAGCGTGTAACCTTCCAGCCCCCTCGTGCTGACCGCGGGAAAATAGCATTGTATCTTACTCCAGTTTCTGGGCTGTAAAATGAAAGACGTGAAAGTAAAAGAATAACGATGTGATTCTAAACCCGATGTCGGTATCTATAAAATAAACTTTGAGGCCTTGCTGTGGTTTCAATAGGTGAACAGCTTTGTTCTCAAAGAAATCGGAAACTTCTGGAAAGAGAGTATACTCTAAATGATGCTTCACATGCCATTGAAATAATTACACAGATTGGATTTTTTTTTTGATTTTTACATTTTTGAGGTGAAGCAATTTGATTGTTGCATAAGTAGAATTTATTAAGCTCCTTTAATAGATCAGTCTCAGCTGGAGGTAGTGGTGCACATAACTTTAGCCC